GAGAGAGAGAGAGAGAGCAAGCTAATCTAGTGTACAAAATATACATATTTGGTCATATACTTTATGCTAATCTTTATAGACATAAATGGATATAAATGTCATCTACTACTCACATCGAGTGAGAGAGAGAGAAAGCATGCTAATCTAGTGTACAAAATATACATATTTGGTCATATATGAACATTTTGAGAATACATGTAGAGCACTTGTATACTGGTCGAGAATCCAAGACCCTGCAAGTCAATTTGGCTAGCCAAGGTCAACATTATATGGAAAAGACCTCAACAAGGGACAAGTCAGCATAATCATGATCAAGTCTAGCCGACCTGGAGAGCCCAATACTACCACATTGGGAGGAGACATGAGGAAACTGAACGTGAAATACTCCAGAGGGAAAATGAAAAAGAGGAAAGAAAACCTAAGCCTTCATAAATCCTTTGAACTACTAAAAAAAGCCAAATTCTAAAAGTATTCACAAATTTTCTAAATAACAAGAATCGGTTTTTTCATCTATAATAAGTTTTAATAAACATTATTTAGTAGTATTTTACTTTTTATTTCTCACGAAACTCAGTCATGTTTCTTTAAAAGTAGCAGGGGTGGCACCACAGAAGTTGCATGAATTAGCAAAAAAACTCAAAGCCTAATCATATAAGGTCGCCGATGCGTAGATCCAAGATCAAGGGTGAAGAATTGGGAATCACATGGAGGAAGTCATAATATACAAGTTGAAACTTGATCTGATTTTAAAGAAGCCATTAAAAGGAAAGCAGAACTTCACTAAATGTCACTGTCTGCATATCCAGATGTAGGAAAGAGGGCCCTACAAGCACTCTGTTAAATTAGCAAGCAGTTTGGAATTAAGGTTTCAAAGTCACAATGTTACATAATTTGCACCCAGATCACACAAGCAGTAAACTGACAACTACTGAAACTCACTGGATTCAACTAGGTGGCTGAAAAATCGTGAAACATCAAATGCAAATAGGACATCAAACTACTCCTGGAATATGGTTTCCTGAGTGTCTGTAAAGATCATGATAGAAGTGGATGCAAATATTTTAGGCTCTTTAGGGTGGAGTAGCACTTTTTCACCAATTGTTTGCTTGTTTTCTGCAAGGAAAAGGAATATGTTTCCACGTAAACAAAGAAAAAAAATCATTTTAGATTCATTCCTACAATGTCCTTGTAACCTCAATATGATATGGTTGAAGGGGATAAAGAGGTCACCTTGGACAAACATGGTTGTGTATCCAGATCCTCTCCATAAAGGAACTACAAAGTGCTGGCTACAGAAATAAGAAGCATGTCATGAGCAGTACGGTTATAAATGCAGTTCATTTTAATGAAAGAAAAATTTAAAAAGTAAATCACCAAGGATTGGTTCGCTGCACAAGCAAATTATACAGGCTCCTCTTCATGGACGCGTGTATATGACCTCGCCCCAAGTGATACTGTAAAATATGTCATGAACAAGAAATCTATTCCATTAGGTTAAGCCTGAGAGTTCAAAACTGTAAGCTACAAGACAATTACTTCAGAAGTACTTATAACAGACGACTGGAATGGTTATGGCACGATATCTTACCTCATAGAATAAATGAAAATGAACAATTATAATATATGAATTTAACCAAAAAATAATACTATATATAGAACAACATTACTAAATTCAAAGGCTGTACCTTCAATGATAACTCCATCAATGATATTCGAGAATTGGCAGTTCCCACCTGAGTGTCTCAAGAGATCAGCTACAAATGACAAACTACCCATAGGTGATCATCCCAAGGTCTTCACCATGGAATACATTGTGTAGTTAGGTGGAAGAACTTGCTGATAACCATTTCCTACATTGACGTTTCTTAAACTTATCTTCTTATGAGTTTCTTGAATACGTCAAGATCCCAAAGAGAATAGATGCTTTAAAGTTTGCTCCATTTGGCATTCCTTAAGATGTTGACTGTGGAGAAGATTAACAGAATACTTGATGACTGCTTCGTTAGAAGTAAGACCACCAAATGATACAATGATTTGTTACAGGAAGAAGAAAAATCCAAGTAGGGATTAGAAGACAGTAGCTAGGAGAGAGTATTTCAGATTTTCAGTCCCTAAGACCTATTGCTCATGGGGCCTCACCTACTCTAGAGACATTAAAGCTGAATTTCCATGGGAGCCTTTTAGGGAGCCCAGGCCACAGGAGGGTGGGGGGCATACTGAGGCATAAACGTGGTATGATCAGATGTGTTTTCTGATCCAATTACATATTCCAATCACTGGGGTGTTAGTAGAAATCACACAAGTTTCAAAAGGTTCTTCTGCTACTTCATGTAATTCTAGTAGCTCCTCGACCACTGTGGGTTAACTGGAATTGGGGCATAGTTACCCTGTGCCTCAGCATGGTTGGAACAACTTAGAGCTACAAGAGCAAGGTAACTGAGGCTGAGAAGCTTCTCCCTGCTCAACGCCTCCCTCCCCCCACCTATTTTTTTCCATTTGTAGTGCTTTATATTCCATTTCAAGATTATTCTTTTAACCTGTGTAGACATGTGCACATGTTTTCGCACTTTAACTTGTGTAGACATTTGTACATGTTTTAGCACTTTAACCTGTGTAGACATTTGTACATGTTTTCGCAATTTAACTTGTGTAGACATTTGTACATGTTTTCACACAAGAGCCAGCAGCACATGCTTTTCCAGATGAAACAAAAAAAAATCATTTTCTAATCGTTAACATAATGAGACTTCTGCGAAATTGATAGCATCAACCCTTCAACCTACCCCCCAGAAAATGACCATCAACTCCTCGAGAAATATACATCTTCCTCTTACAAAACCTAAAGCAATGTAATGTACCCTAAGATCTCAACTGTTGTCAGGAATGAATTAAGCAACTCCCAAAAGGTCAGCACCCCACAATACTTTGAAGCACCCATGTCCTTCAGACAAGTGAAGCAGAGAATACCCCATTTCATTGGGAGATAGTACCAAACCAATGCACACCAGAAAACCGACACTGTAGCCAACAAAGACCTGAGAAGGGGACTGGTTCTCCTGCAGCTTAGTGCCAAGACAAAGTTCCTTAACTAATAGTGAGAAAACTCACAAGTCACCCACAATGCTCCCCACTATAGCACTACGGAACAACCAGCTTGCAAATTAGAATTAGATATTTTTGAAGATGTCAAGATGTCCTGCATAAATTTTTCAAGAAAAAAAAAATAGAATCCAGAATTGTGCAAGAATGATATTAGATGATCATTCATATTCATCCATTTCTATGATATTAAGAAAAGTTAGACCAATAAAATCACAAACATTGCGAAAAAGAATAAATGTAGAGTCTATATCACCCTTTGAAAACCAGGACTACGAATGAGACTCTCCAGGGTCCTACTCGGCCAAGTTGGACTCCCAGACTCAGCTGAATCTTAATTAAAATATCAAGGAAATGTTTTGGCAGGTCAGAATCACTTTTCAGATTAGTCGTACCAACCCGGCAACCTGCTAAGTCTATATTACAAATTTGTCCTACTCAAGAAATATGCCAAAACACATCATTCATCAAGATCTACTTTGCAGACTATATCAGTTTAAGAACAGCATCAACTAAACTGATATGAATACATGAACGTAAACAATGTATACATTATATCTATTATTGTCTTCCAATGCCAGACAGAATCTGAAAAATTGGGTTAATTAATACCAGGCTCTCAACCATAGAATAGTCCAATGCTCTAGAATGGTAGCATACTAGAATTCTTAACCAACCGACCCCACTCTAATATGTTCCTAAATGCTCCTCAAAGGGCTAGTAAATATGGGTTAATCTTTTAGTTTCCAACAAAACTTTAATTCACAAAACCATGGGGAATGCAGCCTGGAGGCATGCGGAGAGGGATGGCACTAATACCCACTCACACCCTGGAGTAAGCTATTGGATTATATCCAACCACTAGTACGTCAGAAGATTGTCAGACCCAAGCCTGATTCGGATCCTCCTTCACTAATAAAAATTATCACCGTAACAGCCTAAAGCAGTCCCCCCAAGGCTATGAAAGCCCCTAATCCATTTACTAGCAGTCTAATGCCCTTCTCCTTACCCAAAAGCAGACCACAATACCCAATCACACAAGTTAAAAGAAATCCCATCTAAGAAGAAATAATGGCACCATAGAAAGGGGAACCTTAGGAATGCCATGCTAGAATATCCCCACAAATCTCAATGAAGAATTAGTTGTTCTTGCCATTAAAAAAATGGGGGAAATTATCAGAAATATGCCTTAATTTTTGCCTAATTAAAAAAAAATCCCATACTTTCATAAACCTCATCCATACCTTTTTTTTTTGTCATTTTTTATTTATTTTTTAACCAAAATAACCTTCACAGTAGTATTGCCATGAAGACATGATGCACCACGGTACTTCAAGTGCCGTGATGACTTTCAAAGATTATACGGTACTTAATGATGCCTTAGCATCATGGGAGTTTTTTACCGTAATTATCAGGAGAAGAGGAAGAGGAGGAGGAAGACCATCAACTGGAGGAGAGGATTTCTTCATAGGGGGTGAGTGCACTCTTAGAGAAAGCAAGGTGAGTGAAAGTGGCGGATTGCAAGCCTTGTTTAACAACTTTGGGTGGGGAAAGGAGGGGGAAGAGAGAGATTGGTCATTTATCTCTCCATGAGAGTGCTGAGTGTTGAGAAAGAACAAGATGCATAGAGAGAGAGGTCCAGTTACGTCTTTCCAAAGGCGCCCTAGTCACAAATTTGGTGATTGCACGGGGTTGTGGAGCTCGACTATTTCTTATTTAAAAATCCCATGTATTAATTTTTCGTAATATAGCCTATGAATTAACTGTCCTTTCTTTGCTTTTACGTTGCAAATTTCCCTTTTCCTACACCTCCAGAGAGCTTGGCTCTAGAAGAAGCTGAAGGATGCTTGAAAGTCCTTGATGCACCGGATAGCAAGGGAAGACTTACGTCTCTCGGGAAGGCCATGGCTCGCTATCCAATAAGCCCTCGCCATTCCCGTATGATTTTAACAAGCTATTCAAATTATAAACAAAAAATCAGGCTATGCTAGAGCAAACCTAGTTCTAGCTTTCTGCTGCAGCTGCAGCAGCTCTGAGCTCATCAATCCTTTTTGATGGACCACCATGATACGGATAGGGATAGAGAGAAAAAGAAATTGGGTGATGACATGGGTAATGCTCAGGCGAAATTGGGGAAGACGAATGAGAGGGCTTAGCATCTAGAAAGAAGTTCTCTAACCCTAGCAGTGATGCTCTCACTCTAGCTAATGCATTACGTTTGTTTGAAGCTTCAAAAAAGCCCTCGGAGTTCTGCTCGGCATATGGTGTTATTGGAAGCTTGGGGTGAGAGGTTTCTTCAACATGGGTGCAAAAGCTTCTGCTATGAGTGGGCCGAGGTCTCGAAGAGGGTTTCAGCTTCAAATTCCAAGAGCTGAAGCCCAATGTCGAAATCGACTCGACACTCTGAAGAAGAAATTTAAGAGAGAAAAACAGAGAATTGCAGAGGCCAAGGCTCTAGGACATAATCTGAACCGGGTCGTCATGAAGCCCTTTTAGCATCACGGTAACTTTTTAACAGTAATTATCATAATAATTATCACGTCAATTTTAAGTACCGTGATGCATCATGCCTTCACGGTAATACGACTACTGTGAAGGCTATTTTGGTAAAAAAATTATCAAAATTGAGGAAAAAGGGTGTGGACAAGGTTTATGAAAGTTGGGGGTTTTTTTCCGATTAGGTGACAAATTAAGGTATATTTCTGATAATTTCCAAAAAAAAGCGATTAGGGTATACCAGGTGTTTGTCACTGACAAGATTTACATCATAATAAAACGCATTTTAGATCGTTTTTAGCATTTCATCAAATGTTTTCTTGGCATTTGGGGCTGTTGCAGCAATGAATTTTGCAACCCCAATGACGTTTTTGCAAATAATATAAAAGGAGTAATTCTTATACTATTATTTCACAATAGAGCACAATCTGTGGTTACCCTTTCTGCTTTAACTAAAAATTGAACTTAACTTTATCCAACAATCCGAAAATACTTTCAATCTTTTGAAAGGAAAAAGTAAGATGTAGCAGAAAATTTTCAACACCATCTACATCAATGAATATTGGTAATTGTTAGAACATGAAAGCTATCCAAAACCACAGAAAATGCTTCTGACTAATCTAAGACTCTTAAGTTCCAGCTTCTAAGCAACTCGGATGAGGAACAAAACAGCTCGCCTTTAACAAAACAAAAATGCTTGAACATTTTCCAGTCCCTACACATTTGCATTTTAGAAAACCTACAGACATGATTCATTATAGGCCATAAATTCCAAGAAATTCAGAAAAATAAATATTCAACTATTTATGTTCTAAATAAATTACAATTGTTTAATAAAAGAAAGAACCAAAGCCATAAAGAGAAGAATATTTACCTCATTCCAGATGGTAATGAGATCCTCAGAAGATAAAGTCTCAGCCCTCTGAAGGTCGATGATGGAGTCCAAGGACTTGGGCTGAAGGGCTGAATATCCAGTTGCAAAGCTCAACGCTCTACAGACACCAAGGTACGTCCATTTGACAACTTCTGAGGGCAACCCTTGCTGGACAAGGTCAGTTCCCAAAGGAGGTAGCGGACTGCAAATTGAGCCATGAAAAGCAGCAGCAGCAGCAGAAGCAGGATATTTCCTGAGAGACAGAGTTACATGAGCGACAGATTGCTTGATGGTCATTGATATCCGATGCATGTTGATGGCCCTAAGTTGGATTCAAAAGGCCACTGGAGACACCAGCAACAAAGGTTCATTAGGACCAGGCTTATATAATGTCCTTATTTATAGTATTATTAAATAGAAAGGGAGAAAAGGAGAGAATGGGCTATTTCAAAAATTTAGTATAACATATGGATAAATAATAGATGAAATTGTATACAATGAGACCATTTATGCTTGGTATAAGGAGGTCACAAGTACTGGTAACGATCCAAAATGGGCCATTCTCTAGGTTATAGCTGCCCAATTTCACATATGGTCAAGATTAATTGTGACTTCCTTGTACGAAAGGCAAATGGTTTCATTGTATACTTTTTCATAGTGGATAGTCTCTATTTTATAGAATTATGCCATCTAAAGAGGGGTGTTACAGAAAAATGAATATACTTAGGCTAGCGTTGGCCTCGGGTTGGGTAGGGCTAGGGCCCCAGCCGAGGCCTGCCGCTAGCACAATCAGGGCCGAGGTAGGTTGGGCCCCAGCTGAGGCCCGACACTAGCCCAATCAGGGCTGGGCCGGGCCAAATAAAAAAGAAAATTAAATCAAGGAAAGGTAAAAAGAAAAAAGAGGGCCAGGTCGGTCGAACTGTGCCAATCTTGTCTTGGCCCAACATAACCCTCAGGGCCTCAGGCCACATTTTGTGGTCCCAGGCCCTAGCTTGGAGCCCGGGTGAGACCACCTACCCATTACCACCCTTAACTTAGACTATGTTTGGCAATTGAGAAAACTGGATAAAATAACCCATTTTCTCAGTTACCATGCATTACTGTTATTGTGTAAGAGAGAATATAATTGGTGCATTATTACGAGGTCCCTACTTCTCCACAAGCCTTGCCTTTTATCCTCCATGGTTCCTATTTAATTTTCACCTCACGAATCTCCGCTTTCCATCATTAATGGAACTCAAGATCTTTGTTTTCTTTGCAAAGTCTACCTTATTTTATCAATGAGGAGCTTGAAGCCTATCATATGCTTGTGGATATTTCCAAGTGATTGTTCAGTGCTTATTGGGTCATGTATGAGTGCTTTTTGATTGGGTCATATATTGTTTTTTAGTGAGTCATGTATTGGGGCTTATTGGGGTTTTGTTTGTCTGAGATTGCAATTTATGTGCTAAAGCGCATTTTGTCTTGTTTGACTCCAAGGAAAATGCCCACCAAATGGTGTTCGGTTTTTCATGCTTAGTGGAGAGTCACATTCTAAGGGGCAGTTTTGCTCCATGGAAACAAGTCTCTTGGAGTGCCGCATTGCATGCTTAGGATGGAAAGTCAAAGACCTCAGACCCTGTTTGGTAACTGAGATAGTTGTGAATCTCGGTGCCTGAGAAAGAGGTAGAAGTAGAAAACTGGCTGCCGGAAACTGAGAACCCTTGTTTAGTAACATGCCTGTGAAAACCGGGGAAATTTGTTGCTAGCAAATTCACCTGTTTGCTAACCTAGAAAGTTGGAAAGTCCACATATATATTCATTTTGCAAGATCCACATATGCATTTTGAAAGTCCAATAACTATTTTCCCTGTGTCTTCCAACAATTAAAGCAAAGTGGCATTACATAGCTAATCAACCATGAAATTTCTACCAATCAAACAAACAGAAAATAGAACAAACGTATACAAGAATACAAGAATTGATGAAGTATACAATCCTTTGGAATTTCATTGAGAATCAATCCTCAAAATCATTATGCAAGATCTACATGTTTTAACTACTTCATGTCTCGTAAATATTTACAAATTATCTATGTTTTTATTGTTTATATAGTTATTACTACATTCCAAGGACTGGGCAACCGTTCATATTTATGGCTGTTCATATTTATCGCTACTCAATCATGAAATTCTTAAAATTTATCTTCAAGTCTTATTACCATTGTAAATCCACCTTGTAGGTACCAATGAAGCACCTAATGATCACTTTACCATATCTACAAGCACGTGATAGGCATCAAAGCTACTATTGAAAATATTACATAGCAAGCCATACATTTCATTCACGAGAATCAACTATGAAAGTAATAATCACATCAGAACATAATTTCTCATATAATTCCATACATTTTATTCACAAAATCAGAGCATAATTTCTAATACTATGCAAAAAAAAAAATCATAGCTCCGAGATTAAAATTGAAAGTAACAAAGAAAAATGAAAATTAATAAAGAAGAAGAAAAGCAATAAAGATGAAGATTAATAGTAATAAATAAAGAAAAAACGAAGATTAAGAAAAAAGACACTCACCGAAAACTCCCTCTCCCTCACAACCCAAAAAAGAAAAAGTGGACGCCCTCCCTTCCAAACTCTAAATCCTCCTTGTTCACTACCATATTTTGTTGTACATGTAGACGAGTAAGAATCGCAAAAAGTAAATGGGAGTGATAAACACAGATGAAAAGTCGAATCACTGGACGTACCTGAGATGTCTTCAACGGCTTAAGCTACAGAGAGAGTGCGTACAGCATTGGGGCTGCAGAGAGAGATTAAAGGCGCTTGGGTAGGGGAGAGAGACCATGGCTCTCTCCATCATTTTGAGTAAAAAATCAGATCACTCTGTTTCCCTGGTATAGCACTATAATTTATCCTTCTTGATTACGCTCTATGTTTTGTTAGGATTGGAAAAGCTTTGTTTCAAAACATTTCTTATTCATCGTATTTGTTGCTAATCTATTTATAAAAAGTAGACTTTTTTAGTCCACACATGTTTTATTTCATGTTTTTCTTCATTTTTACCGACTCTTACTCTAACGTGGCATTGAGGTGTTACAACAGACCCTCTCTCCCTCTTTTTGAGATTTTACGTACGCCATTGGACCGTCAATTTTTCATGGTTTTTAAATTTTTATACATCCATTCGATTTAAGCTTTAAATTTTATAATTAAGTATGAGAATATAATTTAAGACTATCATAAAACAAATCATATTTCTTGATACTATTTGAAGGTGGGTTCTAATTTGATTGTTTAGAGCCTCGGCTCTATACAAACCGCACCCTTTTAAATGAATAAAGGATTTTCTCTGATTAGAATGGATGTGCATGATGAAGTGAATGATGGATTTTGTTTGGATGTGTTTCATTATAAGGAAATATATTCCCTCTCATGCATGGTTTTGTTGTAATCCGGTTAAGATTTTAATAATTTTATATAAAAAAAATTGATGTGTTATGTACCCAATCAAAGTTTGTTTTACTAATTGGAAGACTATTTTTTTTAGTGAAAAAGAAGTTGTTCTCGATCGATATTTTATTAAATCATATATCAATTGGATGATAAATTTTATAAAAAGAAAGAGAAGTATGTTTCCAATCGTTGTTTAATGATATAATACCGATTGGAAAGACGTATCATTATTTTGAGGCTATGGTTTTGTACAGATCTTATGAGGGAATTGTATTTCGATATGGTTGTATTATGAGAGTGTATTCGCCAAACCTCATTTGCATATTGGAATTTTATTGAGACGAGGGCGTTTAGCACTTCGAAGACGGCGAGCACCTCTCTTGCCTTCAAATCCACTGAACTTGATCCCAGTTAAATGAGAATTTTTGTCCACCATGGTTACTTCTAGAGATGTCTATTGAGAATTTTTGTCCACCATGGTTACTTCTAGAGATGTCTATTGATAACTCGCTAAACTATAAGAACCAAGACTGTGTACGACTAGATTAGTTTTGATGATGCACATTATTTAAGATGGCAATAGAGGTTCGAATTTCTTAGAGAATTGGAAGGTGTGTAACATACAAACCATTTGTGTATGCTTGCTGGCCATGAATTTGTTGATTTTATGGTTGTCCGATCACATGCAGGATTTCTGCAGGCTTGGAAAGAAACAAAAGTGGCTTATGTGATCGATAATATAGTATGTTATTATATCTGATGCCAATGTAATAGGGGATGGATTGGAGTGCCACCGGACTTGTTCTTAAAATTGAAGCTTGTTTTGGGACCTATAGAAATGGTTGGGGTGACATTGTCTTATAAAATGAGTACCCCCATCTCTGCCAAGGTAATTGGCGAAGGGACATCTGAATTAAAATTCACGCCCAGAGACTTTCTTGTTTTTTAACTTTGTATTTATGCTCCTGAATTCGGAGATATTTTGTTAAATCTTGGATTTACTTTCTTGTTTTTTAACTTTGTATTTATGCTCCTGAATTCGGAGATATTTTGTTAAATCTTGGATTTACTCCTCAGTAGGCATGATTTTGTATAAGATTTATGTTTACCTTTTATTCTAGGTCAACTGGATAGATAAACCAGTAACCTAGGTTAAGAGCATTGGGATGTGGTTTTTAGGATCCTAAAATATTTGAAAGGAATTATATACCATGACCTACACAATGTATGTGATCTACTGTATTAAGAGGTACAATGATGTTTTTTTGAGTCTTATGGATCTATGACTATCAGATGCATCTCCACTTGTGGTGGGGGTGTATGTTTGGGATTCCAAGAGATAAACTTGTATCTCCAAATGATTGGAGAAAATTGCCTTGGAACCCATACTGAAGAGGGTAAGATGCTAAGGACTTGATGGTAGACGTATCACATGTTCAAGGTTTATGCCTACAGTCTCATATAGTGTCACCGTGAAGCTTTTTTATACCAAACGAAATGTTAGGGATTCATTTCGGCAAATTCAGTCATACCCACTTGAGGCACAGTTGCTTGAGACTTTTGCTTGATGATGGAGTCACAACATTACTCCCTATTAGTTCTACCCCGGACTTGGTAGAATATTAATAAAAGACCTTACATGGCACTAAGTCTAGAAGATAGCTAGAGGGATGGAATTGAGCCCAACAGTATAATGCCTCACGATGATGAGAACCTACTTAGGATAAGGAGATCCCAAGTCCAAGGTTCAAAAGGAAAAACAAGTTGCTCGTGTGATATCTAATGGATGTGGATACCACAAAATATTATGTTTGGAAAATTTATAAAATCTATGCCTCATCCTTGGCTGTGTGGTACAATTTACTACAATGAATCGAGAGGATGATCTTTGCTCTTAATGATTCCATTTGCCTAGATGAGGTAAAGCTTAGGGTGGCGTATCGCACTGCAGGACATCTTCTATGGATTCACCTATATGAGTGTGGAAATGGAGGCCATTTCCTACGAGAATTGGGCATTCCCTAGAACGCTCATGAAAATAGGATCGACACATGACTTTAATGCACAAGACTTTTAAAAAACCTCAGTTTTTTGAAAGAGAATGTGTGGTATGTGGGAGGCTAATTAATAAAGGACATAGTTCAAAGTGCGTCTGCTCACTGTCCTGGTAAGCGTTTCGCGTAACACTCCATGAAGGTTATACTCTTTAAAATAGTTCGTCTTCGAATACATTATCTGGACCATTAATTTTCAAGATTTTAAGTATTTATAGATATGCTTGATCGTTCACCATTTATGGAACTTTAAATGTCATAATTGGGAGCAATAATAGATTTTCATATCATCGCAAGGTTAAATATAGTTTTGAGGTACACTTTACTGTAATACTATAACGTTGATACCTTATACAAACCTCGCCCCTGTACAAAACCTCTCTCCCTCTATTGAGTTTTTACATGAGCTATTTTAAATGAATGGACGGTTTCCTTTCTAATTGGCATGGATGACATAATGAAGTGAATGATGGATTTTGTCTTATTTCCATCATAAAGAAATATGCTGATGCATGGTTTTATTGTCATCTGGTAAGATTTTAAGCCTAATATAATTTTATAGATAAATTTTTTATATGTTCTGTATCTAATCGAATTTTGTTTTATTGATTAGAAGACTATTCTTTTTAGCGAGAGAGAAGTTGTTTTCAATCGATGTTTTATTGAAGTATACCAATTGGATAATAAATTTTGTAGAAAGAGAGAGAAGTATGTTTCCTATCGTTGTTTAATGATATAATACCGATTAGAAATACATATAAGTATTTTGAGACTGTGATTTTGTATGGGTATCATGAGTGTGCAACTAAAGGACTAAGGAATTGTATTCCAATATAACTGTATCCTAGGAGTGTACTCGTTGGGACCCTTTTGTACCTTGAATTTTTGTCGAGACGGAGGCATTTAACAGTTTGAAGAAAGCGAACTCCTCTCGTGCCTCTAGATCCGTTGAATTTGATTCCAGTTCAATAGGGGTTTATATCCACCGTGCTGTATATCGTGATAAGATGCCAAACAACGAACAAGTTTTCTCTAAGGAAAAAGATTACATCAACCTATAAATTAAGCCAAAAGATTTTTGATATTAGTTTTTTGGGCTCATGCTTGGGATACCCTTTAGATCTCAAAATTTTGAAAATTTAATCACTACAATTTATAGTATAATTTATATATTAGAAAAACTAATGCCCCAAGATTGAATAGAAATTGTACAATTGAAGGGCTCTAAGTGTCACAAGACACAAAATTCAAATTTTTCTTTTAAAAATAGTCATGCAGTAATTCTCATATGGTTCCAAAACTAGTAAAATCCATCTCAATCAATCCCAAGTTCCACCCCATATTTTATTGGAGCAAATGTTTACACCTTTTAACTTTTTATTTTATGACAATGTTACAAGGTTTCATTAATAAGATAACCTTGAAATACAATCATATGGGCAAACAGTTCCACCCCATATTTTATTGGAGCAAATGTTTACACCTTTTAACTTTTTATTTTATGACAATGTTACAAGGTTTCATTAATAAGATAACCTTGAAATACAATCATATGGGCAAACAATCATATGGGCAACGAATTCTTCAAACTCGACCCTTAACTTTGCCAAAGAATCAGCCATGTTATTCGCCTCCCTATGGACATGTCAAAACTCTAATTCTAGACCAAAAGCTTTATCCATTATATGGAGCCACAAAAACCTTAAATACTATGGTGGTTTCCAAATCTTCTTACACCAATTAATAACATTAAGAGGGTCACCCTCAACAACACAATACTCGCCCACATATCTCGCTGTCACCAATCGAATACCATAAAATAAAGCATAAGTTCCACACAATTTGCTATCTCTACTCCATAGTGCCCATAATTACACCATAGAACATTACTGTTTACACCTTTTAACTGATGCTAGTTTGATTATCATTACTTGATATTGCATTGTTGGGGTTGTGCTAGAGCAATTACTGCGAATCACATCCCAGCTCGGGTGGACCACTGATTGTATATGTGTCGTGAAAGATACCTTGCTTGCATGCGAAATACTAATTGTCGAAAAAAAAAAAGGAGGAAAAAAGTATTTTAGAAACCCTAAAAAAAAAAAAAAAAAAAAAAAAGACAACTAGATTCTATCAAATCCAAAGTTGAAAATTTAGCAATTTTATTTGAACAATAAGGCATCATTCCCCCAATTCATCCAGAAAATTGAATAAAGCACTTCACTTTGGTCATCAGTTGTAGAATGAGCAATTTCCAATCTTGTCCCCCCATCAAACCAAGAGTGATTTTAAAAGCACCCAATTTTTTTTAATTAAGATATTCGGTATTTAAATAAGAAAAATGTTTAAAGTGCAACCTTCGTGGTAGTTGCACTACTTGTGACCCAGCTAAGGTTTAGGCTTCCATTTTCACCTAACGCTTTAAAAAACCACTAACAATTTTAAAAATAGGTATGGGCTTGTCATCCATACTGAATTACTCAAAAAAAAAAAGAAAAAAGAAAGAAAGAGTGTGAAGTACCTCAAATGTCTAATAAAAAAGAGCATCTTGAAATTTGAAAACCTTCTAATCAACCATCTTGACCTTAAGATATATGAATATAAAAAAACAAAAAGTTTCAAGTAAAAAAAGAAAGTTCGTTATGTAACGAGTTATCTAGATAGTCCATTTTATTAAAAATTTCAAGTATCACACAATTGCTCTATCGGTATGATTTCTAAAATTTTAAATTTTCTAATTTGGGTGACATTGAAACTGCACCTCTAGACAAACTTTTAGAAGCATGCCTTGAGTAGAATAAGGAGGTAGCCTCATGTAGACCTCACCCTTTATATAACTGGTGGGAATGTGATGTTTCCTATCTTATCATTGCAATGTCTCTCAATTCGTATAAAGTTTATTTGTTTTTCTTGAAGGATGTACTATAAGTGCACAAGCCCGGGTTCTAGGATAAAGATGCAAGCACACGATAAAGAACAACAGTCCAAGACTACTTTTTTTTATTTTTTTAATGGACAAGCTTTCTATACTTCCCCTACAGCATAGAAATTCTATTTTCCCCTTATCCAACCGTCCATTCTGAATGGAGGGCTAAGATTGCTCCAATCACATCCTTATCCAACAGTCCATTCTAAATGGAGGGCTAAAAATGCCCCAATCACAATGTCACATCTCTACACTATTGTATTTTTAATTTTTTTTCTATAAACTATTTTGGCACCAAATTTTGGACGTCCATTCCTCTATTAAACTTGCATTAACGAAAAATATATATAAAAAAATATTTTCTATATAATAAATGACCAAAATACCCCTAAATTTTTCAAAAGGTATTTTGATCATTATATTTTATCAAAAAATTATTCTAATATTTTTTATTGGTGCGCCCCAATGAGAAGATGGCATATACCACATTTCATATTCATACAATTTGTATAAAAAAAACTAAAAAAAAAAATACTTTCAAACGTCGGATCTAAGATCAAACAGTGAGTGACTTTCTCGATCAAAATTGGACGGCTGGATGATAAGGAAGGATAGAACTTCTATGCTGTAGGGGAAGCATAGAAACCTTTCCTTTGTTTAATATGTACCTAATGGTCTCCAGGCCAATTTGATTCTTGATTTATATTCCAGAGATCCGGACTTTGTCTCGGTATCAATTTCATGAGTAATTATTTGAAAGTACAATAAACTGAATTACTTGTTCATTTTGGTAATTCTATTGAGAATAATGCTTGTTGTATTGGTGTTTTTCCTTCTTAATACTTGCTTGGATAAGAAAGATGTTATTCCCAATCGTGAGTGTCAATGCAACCTTCACTTCTAGCAAATGAATATAAACCAATCCCTGAACTTGATTATTCTCTTTTTGTAACTTCTCTCTTTGATATGGTTGTGAAGTAGTGCCAATTGCCTTTCTCGACATTGAAGCAATTTGCAGCGGAAATGCAGTTAATGATCAGTTAGTGGAAATCACTCTCCTCTTTCCCCCACAACGGAATGCACGTATCAATTTGCAGCGGAAATGCACATGTTTTATTTATTTCAAAAACTTGGGAGAAATTTGATAATTGGTGAGCTATTGCCCTATATTACGAATATTGAAGAGATGTTATTGTCCTCCATTTCCAGAGCATGAAGTTGAGATGGTGGTCCAAAACAACCTACCTACCACATACACACAAGAGGGAGAGACGAGAGGGAGAATAATTGAACATTATCAACAAACAAAAAAATGGAACACACGCTCACAATACAAAGAGCAAAGTTTTTGAGTGAGAGAACAATAGGACAATACACAAAAAAGAAAGGTAAAATAAGATCAATATACACAAACACATTCAGCACAAAGTAAATTTTTTTCACTGAGAGAGGGAGATATCTGAATCTATAGCTTTAAATGATCTGAATTCAATTCAGTTAAACAATCGGGTTCAATCTGAACACACCCAAGCACGAATTAAAGACTGATTCTATCCATACATATCATGAACTTAGATAAGAAAGCTTCTATATAACAAAGACGAGAAAGGCTCAAGGCATCCAAAAAGGTCCATAAGAAAGCTTTTATATAACAAAGGTCAGAGGCTCAAGGCATCCAAAAAGGCCCACAAGAAAGCTTCTATATAACAAAGACCAGAAAGGCTCAACGCACCCAAAATGGTCCAAGACAAATATCTTGTCAGTCTACATGTAATACGAGAGAGAGAGAGAGAGAGAGAGAGAGAGAGAGAGAGATCATGATTGCAGCCACCCAAGAAACTAATCTTGGTAGATTTGAGTGAAAATAATTTGAAGTCTACAATACAAGGTCTTGAGGAAATCACTTCCTTCCACTTGTTCCGATTCGTGGCTTTCCTCTTACCTCTTATTCCTGCTCTCAAGCAAACATATATCCATTAAAAAAAAAAGAATTAGTAACTGTTCTTCGATTATTGCAATCACCCAAATTCTATTTAATCAGGTTTTTGCATAGAGAGAGAAATGGGAAGTTGGAGGGGAACTACCCTGTTTTAATGAAAGAAAATAACCACAACAATTTATAGGATGTACCAATTTAAAGAAAACAAATTTGTTGTTCTTTTCCATTAGTAATCAACAGAAAAACAAATTATTTATCAGAATTCAGGAAAAAAAAATATCAATATTTTTCTTTGAATGTTTCAGTCACGAACATTTAATCTAATCAGGTTTTCACTTTTTACACAAAAAACTAAGATAACAAACCCAATCACAAATCCACCATTTCCACAGAGTCCATCCAAAAGATTTTCCATAGAATCCATTCAAAAGATTAAATATTTCTGAGATACTCTTATCACTCTTACCAAATAAACTGAACATGGATAGAGAAATGGAGAGATACAAACAAACAATGGAGAAACACTGAGAAATAATGAGATGACGTAAACAATAGAGAGAGATGGAAAACCCTAAAAAAAAAGGCATCCGATGACTGAGAAGGCGGAGAAAGAATTGTCCTAAAGCACAGCGGTAGAGAGAGAGAGAACCTGGCGAGTAAGGAGAGAAGAAGGCTTGAGGACCGTAGTCATGGCTTGCAGGTGGGCAAGGGCAACAAAAACTTCTCCTAGTCCTGCGTATGTGCGTAAGAGAACTCGAGGGGAGAGAGGGGAAGAGAGATGAGGTGGTGAGAGAGAGCAAATGGGGGGAGAGAGAGAGAGGTGGAGATAAGTGCTGGAGAGGGGTGGAGGCGAGTGAGAGTAGGCTATCAGGTGCCCTGGTTTTGCCGAGAGAGAGAGACAGGGACAGAGGGGTGGAGGCGAGAGAGAGAGATGAACAGCGAGGTGACATGATTGCTGGTGTGTGGGTTTCTCCCTGGTTCAGCCAGGGGAGAGAGAGAGAGAACGAATGGGGGTGGGGAGAGGGGAATGGGGCGAGAGAGAGATCGAGGATCACAGTTGGGTGTCAGGCTTGTCAGGAGCATTAAATGGCTTTTTTTAATCTTGAGATTGGGAATAAAATCTAACGGTGATCCATAGGGGTCCTATGCTATTGGGGTATGGCAGGGTTCTATAGGATCATTACTCTTATTGTTAATATTAGTAAGATTTTAACCAAAAGATTTGTTTGGAACTCCAAGCACTGGATTTTTAAACCAATTATTGGTTTGGAACTTGGAGTTCCAAACCTGGAACAAAGGCAAAATACAAAACAAGTCGGCATTTTAAGGTTCAGCCATTCTCATGTCCAAAACAAAACCTACAAAAACGATTTGTATGAAGTGAAGATGCCATGCTTCTTTCGATAGCTTTCACAAAAATGCATTCGCTTCCATGCATCACTTGAGATCTCGATAACTTTTACAAGAGCCATGGAGGATGCAATGACACAATTCTTATATTGCAGGAATGAACTGAATACAGGAAATAGGAAACTACATTGTCCTAGTGCAAATATTTGACACTACACAACAAAAATATGGGGAAAAACAAAGGACATTCTTCCCCACGGAACACAATTACCTGAACATATGCAATACCGCCAAGGAATCATTTTTCCTGAAAACTTGGGCTTCTTTGTTGCTCATTTAGGATGGTGTCTCTCTCATATGTGTTGCATATCGGAATAGACAGGAGCAAATAGAACAAGGGCCTCGGGAACTAAACAAGGGCTGCATTCATCTCGCAGGTAAATGATGCCAAAGGCCCCATAGCAGAAAGTCCAAGCAATTGCTATCATATGCGTAAAATCCGAGTTAATTTATACACCTGCGGTCACATTAACCCACATCAGCATCTCCACAAGCGAAACTAAAACTCTCATGAGAGAACTCCAATCCAGGGAGAAAACCAGTACCTGAGCACTTTGCTTTGGCACTGGTACCTCAAGACAATTCCGGAGGCCATCAACTCTGTGAATCATGTATTTAAAGAGAGCTTGTAAGCAAATAAGCTCTAAAGAACAATGTTCAGAATATTTGTAGTTGTATAAAATAGTTGTCATGATGCAACAGTCCAAGAGAGAGGTCCCCATGGAAAGGGAGTTTTGTAGGAAAGAAGGTACACCTTCTGGGAATGGATCTTTGAACCTTCTGATCTGCTTTGAGAATACCAAGTCCACCATAATTGACCTCATCAGTATCCAGTATCATCTGAAGCAGTGGAAACCACATAATGTGAGATTTGATTCTCATGCAATTCATAGAAGAAGATGGGCTGTGGAGATTGCCTTATGCACAAGACACCATAGATAAAAGGTTTTAGATCATATAGCCATGAGGGAGAGCACAACTCCATAAGAAGAAGAAAGAAGGCACCCAACGGGTGGGCCATGAAGCTCTCTCCCTTTTGCTGTTTCTCTCACTAAGAGAGAGAAAAAAGGAAAAGTGGGCATGCCCGAGTGAGCTTGAGAGGTGGTATCTTGAAAATGAAGCTGAGTGGGGTATAAATAGGCAATTTCAAGTGTCACATTTTAAGTGAGGTGATCAAAGCCCTTGATGCTCATCATCCATGGAACATAAGAGGGCTTTGACCTAGCCACTCATCATTGTTTAGCCATCAAGATCAAGGGATAAGATTTACACATCCTTATTACTCCTTCACAAAACCCTAGATCTAGCCATTTTACTAAATTTTCCTTAGTAGAGAATAATTTTCACAAATGCTACTTCTCCATTCCAAACGTGCCCATGGTGAATTTTAAAATTAAAGAAAAAGTGAAAGTACAGAGGGGTGCCCCTCATGTAATGTGTAAAATGTCTCCCATTCATCTAATAGGATGAAACAATTTCATAAGATTCATATGGGCTTAAGCCAATGAGGTAATGCGGTATAAAAAGCTATTTTAATAAATCATTTTCTCCCATGGATTAAGGTTTAAGCCAAAATTTCATGCCATTGCCCAAATCCTCGGCACATGTGAATGATACCACATCATCATCATCAGCAAAGCCTTTTCCCACCTAATTACTTGCCCTCTTTGAGCTTATGTGAATGAGACCACATGTGTAGCAATTTGACATGTGCTAAAAAAATGGTAACTCAAGAAATAACATAAATTCAATCCCAATCTCTATAAAACAATTTAAAAAATGCCAAAATAGGACCCCCCACTTGTGATGACGTCAGAAAGTAAGGGGGACGACGTGGGCGCCACGTGGCCACCTTATGGGCACTTGGGTGGCACGTGTAGGCTCCGACCAGTCTGTCCTTGATTGGAATTTCTCAAACAATTCAATAATACTCATTTTCTTGCTCTAGAAAAATTATGAAAAATTCTAAAACATTCTCCAAAAGTTCTAAAAAAATCATTTTCTACCATAACTACTACTCATTATGGTATCAAAATAAAATGGAGAACTGGTAAGAGATCTTAGACTTGAAATCTAGGTTATTGGAGTACTCCATTGGGCTAGTTTGGAATGATTGTCTAGTATCTCAGAATGATCTAACAAGGCTATGTTCCCTATGGCAAGGACACATAATGTGAGTGATCAAAGCCACTCCAATCAATAACCCATCATTCTCGAGTGTCAGTGGATTACATGTGCATCCCTAGGGACATAAAAATACTCATATACAGGGATCCTCTCAAGGCACATATGCACAAGCTTTGCCTAGTTGATCACACATTAGAAGAGTGGTTTCCCATGCGACTGTAGGTGCACATGCGATAGGGTGGTCTCATCTCCCATGATTCATGACCATCTTATACAGGGCCATCACTCTCAAGGTACTCGGGTTCTATTCTCTTCTTGGTTATATTAGTCCTGGCGAACACATCATCCATGAGGTATACAATCCAGGAATATTCTAGGCTCAGAGGTGACCCTCACACCTCTGTAAGCAATCTCTCTCTCTCTCTCTCACCGATGTTTCTCATTACCTCATGTACTTGCGGTATATGATTCTAGGCCCCAGTGTGCCAAGCACCTAGAATCATCTCCACTTGCTCCCACTGAGTGAGGGAATCTTGGATTTAAGGCCTTGAAAGGGCCATAATTCCAACACAAGAGACGTCGAAAGCTGGTTTTGTGCTTAAACGAAAGGATTATTGTACACATATCACGGTTAGTGGGAGTACGACAGTATTCATCTTCCTATCTGTGGCTGACATATTAATCTTCAGTAGTTCAATGACTCGAATTGGAAACAAAAGCTTTCTTGTCACAACATTTCGATATGAAAGATCTTGGAGAGGCTTCATATGTTATGGTAATCATAATCATGAGAAATAGAAGAGAGAAAACAATTTAGTTATCTTAAGATGAATATTGTAAGAAAATTCTGGAATGATTTGAAATGATAAATTACTGGCCCATATTAACCCCCATTGACAAGAAGATCAAGCTAAGCCTTGCCATGTGTCTCACAAGTATAGATGGAAAAGAGGCCATGCAGAGGATTTCGCATAGAAGTATAGTTGGGTCACTGATGTATGCCATGTTTGGGACAACACTGGGCTTATCATTTGCTTTGAGTATGATCGGCACATTCTAGAGTTGTCTCGGCATGAAGCACTAAAAAGTAATAAAAAGAGTTATGCGATATTTGAAGGGAAATGTTAATCTCTCACTCACTTATGGAGGAGGCTCAGACATGCAAATACACGGATATTCAGATGCAGACCATCAAGGCGATCCAGATGAGATGAAGCTCTAGTATTGGGTCAATCCAGGATGTTGTTGTTGATAAAATAAGTCACAAAGATAAAGCAAGGTCTCCAAGCTTAGTCCACAGGATGAATGGAAAAACATTTTTCCCGGTGCTGGACTACTAGGTGGATCACTCATCAAGATGAAGAATAAGTAGAAAGGTTCCCAGATGAGGACCGACTCAGAAGTCCAAGTCAGAAGAACGAAAGATTCGTCCTCCCTTGTTGAACATTCGGGTTTATCTTCACACTTACTGGTGGAGCTATTTCCTGATGCTTAAGGAAATAGGACGTTAGACTCTCGACTATGGAGTTAGAGTATGTGGCTTGTTGTCTTGTAGCAAAAGAGGCAGTCTGGTTGAAGAAGTTCTTGAATAAGCTAAGGTTTGATCCCGTCAAGTGCCTATGTGAGAATCTTTTGAGACAAGTAGGAAGCGATTTGTGGGGTCAAAGAGCCACAATTTCACAAGAAATCAAGACACATTAAGGTGGATTATTACCAAATTTGAAACGAGATCCGACCTGGAGAGGAGGAGGTTGCTTATCTCCCCACAAAGGCTATGTTAACATATCCTTCAACAAAAAGATTGGTGGCAAATGTATTTGCCGAGCATGTACATGCGGTAGGCTTGAGAGGGACTGAAAGGAAGTGGTTGCACGACCTTCAAAGGCTAAGTGGGAGATGTTGAGGTTTGTGGCTTTTAAACACCATGAAAGCATGTAAAAAAGAATTACAGTAGATTATAGAATTTAGTGAGAGCAGGTACATTGGTTGACTGATGTAGGGTTAGGTGGTCTATTGTCCTGGTCATGTCCCAAACGCTTACCAATTGCCATATGGCGCTGTCGAATAGGGTTTTAAGAGGTCTTGTTGAGGTTGGAGAGATGCCCGGGGAAGGTTTGCAGGCCAGGAGAGCTTCATGGTTTTCTGTGTGCAGATGTAAGCCTATGAGAGAGAAAGCTAAATCCTTAACAAACTTCCGCGTTACACATACACATGATAGCCCCATTATTGGGAAACAACCTTGAAAAGGAATACGTGTACATATGCTACCTTGCATTATAATGAAATGTGAACATGTCTTGCTCTTAAAAGGAGGAACCGGTGATCCACTTTCCAAGGCCGTGGTTCCACAATTTATTGGCCATCTTTGACGAGCGAATCATGAGCCACTACATGATACTGTGGATCATGGTCCTTGTTGGGTTGGTTTGAGGAGATAGTCGAGGATCATAGTTATTAGATCGGGTGGAGTGCCCTGTCAGTCACTTATTTTGACCCATTGGTACCAGTTAACTTTTAGATATCTTGTTTTTAGTATAATAAATACTTTTGTGAATTTTAGAAATTCTTTTATGATTTTTTAAATTATTTTCAGCAGTAAAAACCCTTGCTCTCAAAGGGTTATAGATAGCCTAGATCTATCCTATGCTCTCAAAACCCTAGATTTTGGTCAGGAAATTGGCATAATGCCCTAAGAATTCCAAAGGGTTATAGATAGCCTAAGGGATGGTCTCCATTCAGAAAATTCAGCAAGGCCAATAAGATCACATGCAACCATGGGTCAGGAAATTGGGTGCGGGGTGTACTAAGTCCTAATGGGGTGAGCATAGGAAAATTCAAGTCTTCATGGCTGTTTGGTTTTATTTTCGGTCATTCTTTGCTTGTTTATTTGAATGTTTAGGAACATTATTTGTACAACAATTTATACTCAAAGCTTGCTTTCCAATTTGGATTGTGTCTATTCTCTTTTATAGTAGAAGGAAATATCCGAGGTTGTATTTAGGGTTTTATTTCTTGTTTACAACTATATTCTGTGTCACTTGTAAGTGGAATTCATATGCATTAATAAAGGAAAACAGAATTTTTTGATTTTATTCTCTTGAATTCCACCTCGCCACTTCTTTCAGTTTGGACCCCTACCCCGGCGGTTTCTTGGCATCATCTTTCTATTTGGTCCTCAGCCAAGCTACCTAGAGACAAAGCCTCGAAAGCCCGGTTATCCCCTCCTTTAAAAATCTAGTACTTCAATTGGCTAGTTCTCTCCAGGGAAGCACCAACAATTAATCAATTTTAGAGGAAAGGCATACAACTTCCAAATAGGTGTGTGATATGCAAGGAAACAAAGGAAAACATTGACCATCTCATAGTTAATGGAAGCCGGAGCGGAAATGGCTTCGCGATCAGGAACGGGATCTTTGGATCAACATGGGCCAAAAGTTGTGATAGTCCAGAATTGAGATCCATACAACATTTCTAGAATTCTAGAACAGAGCTAAATCCCATATATAAACGATCTCACTCCCAACGCTCATGGGATCTGGATATGGAGGGGAAAATTATATATATTTTTATTTTTAGTCAATTTTAAATGATGTAATATTTATTTTTAGGATATTAATTTTTTTGGATTCTAGGATTTTCTTATATTTCTTTATTTACAATTTATGAGTTTATTCATGGTATTGTTCACAGTTACTGTTCACGTGTTACTATTCACACTTTATTGTTCACAGAGGTATTTATGGAATTTTAATATTGTATCTCATATTTTGGGAGGCATATATTATTGCAATGAGTTTTATTTTATGAAAGAATAAAGTTCTTATCTTGGCTTGATTTACAATCATGTTCTTTCTCTATTATTGCTGATTTTACTTGTTTAGGGTTAAAAAAAAAGGGTGGATTTAGGTATCAGAGCCTGCGATCTACGCCGAAAGTACTGTAGTAGTGTAGGGAACATAGTTAAGGGACCTTGTGGGTAGGGTGACGATCCTACTCCGGAACCTCGATCTCATGGTTCCTGCAAGGGATCTTGGAGGGACCTTGTTTTTTTGATTTTGGGATTTCGCTCCCAAAAATAAGGGACCATATTCCATCTATCAGTGGAATCTAGTTCCATTTCGAAATAGATCCCCACTCTCGTCAACCATGGTCCAACGTTTTGGTACATTATAATCTTGGGTTCCATGTTTGTGGGTATACTTTTATTAACGGATGATACCAGGTTAGAGATTGCCATTGTCCGAAGTTTCCATTAATTAGAAATCATAAGTTCCATGTTGTTAAAACCCAATCCCTTTTTCACATAGCATGAAGTTCTATTATTTTAGATTCTTAATTTGAACAAGGCATAGTCTAGAGTGACCCATTGTTTATTAAGTTCTATTGTGTAAGCCATCCCTCTTAGTTGTGAGAATATTTACTTTATTTAAAATCTTATATTTATGATGTCCTATTGTTTTAGAGTCTTAAATCTGATTACAGTTGTGAGATGAGAATATATGTTTTCATTCCAAGCTTTAAAAAGCTTCTTTTACATCAGTCAGAGAGAGAGAGAGAGAGAGAGAGAGAGAGAGAGAGAGAGAGAGAGAGAGAGAGAGAGAGAGAGAGAGAGAGAGTAGTAGTAGTACGTACGTACGTACGTACGTACGTACGTACGTACGTAACGTACGTAACGTACGTAACGTAACGTAACGTAACGTAACGTAACGTAACGTAACGTAACGTAACGTAACGTAACGTAACGTAACGTAACGTAACGTAACGTAACGTAACGTTAACGTAACGTAACGTACGTACGTT